CTCCATCCTTTTATCACTATAACAGTTCGTTACAGCACAGAAAAACAAGTCACACACTTATTTACCTTTTTGCAGATCACACACAAGCTAATTATCAGGACCACGGGTAGTCGACCTTCAGGATAATAACTTAAAATGCTCTCCACAACACGATGCGTCCTCTATGTTCTCAGTACGACAGCGTTTGAGTTTTCCTTGTCTATCACCTTGCCATGCGCCACTTGTCCCGCCCCTTTGCATAGGGAAGCGCTTGGATTGGCTATTAGTTTGTTAGCATACAATGGAAATACAGAAATACAATGATTGACATTCTGACTTGAAACAGATTAGGATGCACAACAGTTTACATGTGGTGCCTTCAAACCAACCAAACATTACTTTTTCCCATGAATATTAGAGTTTCTTAAAGGAACATAACCCTTCTGAATAAACATATGAAACATAACTTATCTCTACACATACATTTTATACATTTTTATCTCAAGAATACATACTTTAACCAGTCTTTATCCATTTTTAAACCTGTTTACATGAACTTACTGTTTATTTGTTTTTTTATACAACTATTTATACATTTTAAACTGATTTTAAGCCCTATACTGTCAGTGTCTTTTAGACAGGGCTACATTAGGTTTTATGTTTGCTGCCTTTATCTGCTGTGGCTCACGTCAGCTCTCCCTTCGTTTGTTCATTTGTCAGTCAGAAATAGTAATAATTATTTATTAGTAGTAATTAATAAGTGACTAGTGTTAATCATGGATCGGTTTGCAGTGGGAGTGCTGCTTAATTACACTCTGCTGACATTATGGTGCTGTTATATCCACTGTCTTCAGTGTGGCCAGAATTGATGAGGTTGTGGTAACCAAAAAGACAACTTGCAAAAAATATATGTTAACTTAAAATCTACGTACAGAATTATTTAATGGATAATAAGGGTTGAAATGGCTTGACTCATCCTTGTGTTGTCTTTACCTTTCTGATGACACCACGCCTGTTGATCGCCTCATGCTCATACATGTCCTGATAGCAGAACTCTCTCTCCCAGTCATGTGCATAGCAGGCATCGGTCTGGTGATGCTGTTCTTCAGCTGGCTGCTGTCCATCTTCAGAGCCAAGTACCACGGATACCCATACAGGTATTTCATTTCGGTTTGCTCCATGTTATCTGCTGTGAAGGCTCGGACAGGCCGTCGTGTTTAAACGTCTTCTTGTCTCTGTTGTAGCTTCCTGATGAGTTAAGGCTGATGAGAATCCTGCCGTTCCAAACCAAGAGTAAACTTAAGGACTAGAAGTTCTCACATGCTGTTAACAGAGTGCAGTCCACTGCAGCGGTGCCACAGAACAGTTTCCTTTTAATCCGTTGAATTAAAAGTTGTACACGATGTGCCTTTACAAGAACAGAGCTGCCATCACCACTGTGCATTCTAAACTGTCAAGTGCCAAACGTCAAGTGTCTTCTATATTAAATCTGAATGTCTGAAATCCATTGATCTTCATTAGTTTAAACCTGATGGACACAAATTCTTCTCTTTTGTTTTGAAATGTAAGGACTCCAAAAAGGTCCTGAACTGTGTTTTAGGAACATACTTCAGGCATCAGGGAGTCTGGGAGGAAGTCATTGATTACTGATTGGCAGCATATACACATTTAATGAATAAACTATAACAGTATGATACAACTGTAAGCAGCCTTCCCTCCAGATCCTCCATCAAATGTCAACACATATGAGCAAACAGAACTCACCAGATGAAATTGTGCTGCTAACACCAGTGTGCTGGCCAGACAACTAATAAACCAGTCAGCTGCAGCACAATACACCTCAGGTAGACATACCTGAGTCAGTAGAAGCTCTCAGTGCTGCCAGCAGAACAGTCTGCCCGCTGCCTGGGAGCTTGTTAACGCCTGACATGCCCCCTCCAGACACTGGGAACAAGGCAAAAAGACATGATTTACTATTTGATAATAACAGTATGTTCATAAACCATAAACCTTTTAAAACTGTGCTGAAAAAAGAAATGACATGTGATTTCAGTTGGACTGTAAAGCTGATGTTGGTGTCCTACGACGTAGGGTCTCAAGATCTGACAGTTAATCACCGCTTAAAGTTCTGGTGAATCAACACAACACATTTCAGACCTGGAGCTGTTGGTGCCCTTTTGGTCAGGGAGTCCTTTCCTGGGCAGTAATCCTCCTCAGTGGTTCTCAGTAACAGCAACACTGATAGCTGGTGTTTGTAGTTCTTGTTGGACTCTACCTCTAGGGCTCTAGAGGAGTGTCAGATGTTGACCAACCTACCAAAGTTATTTAAAACATTATTTTACAGTACAAAGCATATAAATCCAGCCATATTATAAATCCAAATTAGAAAAAGCAAAAACAGTTAAAGAATGACAGAAAGCAGTGTTTGTGTTCTATACTTGTGTTCTTTCCAGTTGTTGATTAACTCTTCGCACTTCCTGTTTTATTAAGAAGTGAGGTTGACCTAACCCCAGGGCAACATGACGTTTGGACTGTACCTACATCAGGGCGAGTGTTCAAGCCTACAGGACTGTTGCCATAGAAATGTACATACTGTGTAAAATCACATTGTCACTGTTTGTGGTTACCATATCAGGTTGTACAAATGGAAAGTGCTGGATGTGAGCTGATTGTTTCTGATAATAAAGTGCCTTAACTGCCTGTTTGGTTCTTAGTATTTTGTGGAGTGAGCCCTGATGAAGCTCAACATGGCCAGGATATCTTTTCATGATCTGGCTTCACTTAACCCAACAGCTTCCGTCAGGACAAACAGTCTCACGGAGCTGGTTATAGATGGGTTCATTTCAGCCAGGGTTTCTGAACCTGGGTAAGAAGTAATACAAATGTAGTCGCCAAAAGCAAGAGATGAAGCTGCAAAAAAGCTGCAGACTGTAGAATAAACAGGCTTATCAATATTACTAACAAATGATCAGGGCATAAACAGATCCCACTGTACTTCCAACTGTATATTCTACTGAATGAATGGAGATGTATTCTGGTGGGAAAACGGTTTTTGGCTGGCTGTGTTTTATATATATACAGTTGAAACTAAACGTTTTCTTACGCTGTGGAAAAAGACATAAAACCTTTTTTTTTCTCGTTGTCTGACATTAAATCCGACTAAACTTTTCCTGTTTCAGGTCAGTCAGGATCACCAACATTATTTCTATTTGCTAAACGCCAGAATAATGAGACAGAGAATGTTTTCTTACTTTCGTCAAAGTCAGAAGTTTACATCCATCGCCTTAATATCTGGCAGTGTTGCCTTTAAACTGTATGACTTGGATCAAATGTTCTGGGTTTCCTTCCACAAGCTTCTCACAACAGTCTGATGAGTTCTGGCCGATTCCTCCCTCAGTTATTAGGGTCTGAGCACTACAGTGCGTAGGACCCTATTCTAATCCTTGTGATCATTTTTGTACCGACTTTTGAAATGCGATTTTGAGGGCCTAAACATTCACAAAAACTCACCAAAATCACCACACACATCAGGACTGGTGAAAAGTTTGATATTTTAAGGGAGTTGGACATGTCAATGCCAAAATGGCTCCATAGCGCCACCTTGAAAATTTCAACAGAGTCCCATCGGAAGCACGTTTGACCTAGACCTGCACAATTTGGTAGGTATATGGAGGAGGTCAGGACGAACAAAAAAGTCAGTGACAGCCATACCCTAAACCCAGCAGGAAGTCCGCCATAATGGATTGTTCATTTGTCCAACCTGAGCTAACTCCTCCTAGGGGGTAAGTCACAGAGCACTAAAATTTGGGTAGCACATAGAATACACCTTGAAGGTAACATGTTATCAAAGTCATCTGCAAAGGTCAAAGGGCGTGGCCACGGCAGCTCTCTGATGTTTGATCCTTCGCCATGAAAGAGGAAGTACTGTGTAACTACCCTGTACATGCTCCAATCTGCCTCAAACTTTCCATGTTTGATCACAGTGCTGTCCTGATCACTTCCATATGCCCAAATCCATTCACAGTCATAGTGCCACCTATTGGTAACAAGCTGTTTGAGGCATTACACTTACATGTGCCATTGCTTCCAACTTTGGGATATCATTCCTAAAATTGGTCAGCTAAGTCTTCCCACATTGACAATTCTACAGTGTGAAGCGTTTGCGTTTTCAAGCAACAGTGTTGCCATGGCTACGCATAGCTGCTATGACTCAAGAACTCAAAGAACTTTTTGACAGCTTTGGAATGCTCATAAACTTACCAAAATTGACATGCAAATCACTATCGGCTCAACGATAGACAATGTGTGCCTGTTTGGCAAAATGGCTCTACAGTGCCCCTTGCAGCAATTTATCCATTAGCCCCCGCAGGACATTTAACCGATGTTTACAAAATTTGGTAGGCTTATGTAACACATCAGGATGCACAAAAAAGCCTCTTGGACCCATACCATAAACTCAACAGGAAGTCCGCCATTTTGAAATAACTGTGCAGTTTTTTTGTGTTCTTTGTCATATTCAAGAGCTAACTCCTCCTAGGGGTTAACTCCTACATGCCTCAAATTTGGCCAGCGCATACAATAGGAGTTGGTGGTTAAAGTTATCAAAACGCTTCGCAAAAGTCTGAGGGCGTGGCAATGGCGGACCTCTAAATTATGATGATTTGCCATCAAAAAGGAAGCATGTCTAACAACCCTGTACATGTTCCAATCTGCCTCAAACTTTACATACTTGATCACAGTCCTGCCCTGATGAAACCCATATGCCAACATCCATTCATGGTCATAGCGCCACCTGCTGGCAACAGAAAAGCATATGTTTTACACTCCCATGAACATTTGTAACATCTACTATGGCCAGCACGTTTCACCTACATCCATGAAATTTGCTGGACATATGCAGCACATCCAGACGAACAAAAAAGTCTCGGTGCCATTCACCTAAACCCAACAGGAAGTCTGCCATTTTAGATTTTTCGTTTCTCCACCCTGAGCACACTCCTCCTGAGGGGTAAACCACAGAGCACTGAACTTTGGGTAGCATGTAGAGTACTATTTGAAGGTACAAATTTCTCAAAAGGCTGGCTGACTGCAGCTTGCTCCTGCACTACTGAGGAGACAGAGTAAGGACTGAGGCTTGAATGGCGTCAGAGCTCCATCTAGTGGACAAACAGCGCAACGACAGCATTCTGTACAAAGGTGACACTTAACAGCATTTGCCGATTTTTTTTTAAGAAAAAGGTTAAGGTTAGGTGATTGACACTTTGCCCAGAGTGGATTTCTGCCACAACTCCGACACGTATGGAAGTGTGGGGACCCATCCATCGCCGCTTGTGACTTTAATTGTAATTGTTCACGTTCAGGTGTTTGAATGGAGGTTTAGAATGACTCGGTGTGGTGTTCCTGAGCTCATCCTGCTCCGTCCCTCAGCAGCTTCTCACGAACATTCCTCGTCACTGCTGGATGTTTCTCCTGATGCGGTCTGACGGTGTTGCTGCGGGGTCCGGCCTGTGGAGGCAGTGTGGCCCTGAACTGGCGCTGAGTCGGAAAAACATCAGCCGAAGAAGACTGAACCCGGAAGACAGAGCAAGATGGCGGAGCGCAGAAACAGCAGCGATGGAAGAGAACAGACCAACACAGACGCAGAACCGCCTAAACTATCGGACCTGCTGGACCGTGGCTGGAAGATATTCGAGGAGGTGGACAGCACGGACGAGCCGCTCGGCTCCAGCAGCGTCCAGCTGAGGGTTCGACGCGGTGTCGGGGCTTTAGAAGAAGCGTCCAGGATGGTGGCTCAGCTCGACCTGTTCAGCCGCAACGAGGAGTTGGAGGAGGTGGCCACGGCCGACCTGCGGTACCTGCTGCTGCCCGCCCTGCTCGGAGCACTGAGTATGAAGCAGACCGGCCGCGACAAGCGGCTGGAGGTGGTGCAGGCGGCCCGGGACCACTTCATGGACTTCCTGAGGAGGTGTAAGGAGTACAACGTCTCTCAATTCGACCTGCCCAGCTCCACCGACACGAGTCCGGACGAGGCGACACAGAACCGAAGTTCCGGAGGCAAGGTGAGCTGTCATGTCTACAGCAGCAGGTAGAAGCAGGTAAAGGTACCGTCCTGCGTGGAGCCAGGTATTCAGCTCACCTGTCAGAGTGAAGGATGCTACAGTGTGACCTGCTGCTAGAATCGGGTCGGTCCATTCTCCACGTTAGATCATTCATAGTTAGACCCAGTAATGAGGCTACTGCTGCCGCTCCATGCCTGGATGAGACTTGGTCCTAGAGCTGCCATCATGTCTAGCTATAGAGTGTAGTTGCTGACCGGCCTTGATGTTCACACAACTCTCTCATATGAGTCCTGCTGCTGTCTGAGGCTGCAGGTTTTAACCTCAGAGCCAACAGTCCAAACAGCTGCAAGAAACAACCTGCAGCTCACATGACATTCATCAGTCTTTAAGCTGTTAGTGTCCTTTTTCATCACAGGAAGGTTTTAACATCATGACCTTCTCATTTTGTAATTGAAGAGCAAAGTGTATGATTGTGGCACTCAGACGAACCGTCTGACCTGTGATGTGATGTTTGTGTTCCAGTCTGGCCCCTGCTCATCAGACCTGGTTACCATGGCAGCACAGAGACAAGCTAAGATTGAGCGGTATCGGCAGAAGAAGCTGCTGGAGGCCCAGCTGGCCGACATGCGCAGAGCTGTGGACAGTGGACAGGCTGACGATGAAGTCAGCAGAGATTTTTACCTTCTGAGTGTCCAGCGGTGGATCACTGTGTGTCTGGAGGAGATAGAGAGCATCGACCAGGAGGTGGAGATCCTCAAGAAGATGGATGTTATGAAGCAGTGTGCCGTGAAGCAACCCGCTCAGCCCTCCCCCCGTCCCATCAAACCCTTCATCCTCACCAAGGACGCTGTGCAGGTAAGAGTGTGTTTGGGAGACACAGCAGGAGCCAGCTGGTAGAGAGGAGGATAAATACACATGATTCTGTCATCTCGTGTTAACACCAGGATCATCAAGAGTATCTCGATCTGGTTCTGGTTCTGGTGCTGCCCCTCTCCTTTAGAGTGCTGGTGCCACCCCTCTCCGGTAGGGTACAGGTGCTGCCCCTCTCTGTTAGAATACCGGTGGTACTACTTCTACTTACATTGCTGATCAATGCAGTACTTTAACACAACTCTTCTTACTGCTTTTTCTTAGTGTTATCGAGTAAGAGTTAAATACATCATGTGCTGCCTTCGTCCTTCAATGACTTCCACCTGTTGTTCTTTTACAGACTGAATGAGCTCCCTGCTGAACTCCACACTGCTATTATTATGAACACACCCCTTTCAATTAATGATTCAATTACACAGAACCAGCAGCATGCATGTCATGACCGTTGGTTCTGTTCTGTTACTCTACTGGTAAATTATAACGTCTACCAAAAAACAGTGATTGATCTAATTAGTGATATTGAGCTGCAGCTGTGTCTGGTTTCTGTTCTATCAAATCAGAGTTGTGTCAGTTGAAGAGACATCAACGAGCCTACAAAGTGTCAGGACTCCAGCTCCATTATGTCTCATGTTCTTCACACTCCCCAGAGTGGCTTGAAGAAAATGGCCAAAAAGTCAACATGACCCCTCTAAGAATATTAAACTTAAAAACCAGTGTTATTTCTGACTCTGGATGTTACATGTGATCAACTAAATCAGTGTTTGACACTTACAGAAATAAATCCCATTGGAGATGATCGGGCGTGGGCCGTCCTTAAGCTGTCCTTTCTGGGATGGCTTATGACATTAAGACATTTGTACTCCTACAAAATGTTTTTAAAAAATCAATGCCATTCAATCACATTTTTTTCAACAAGGAAACACGGTGACCATGAGCAGCTGCTAAAACAGACTCAGTCCTGACCTGTATGTCCTCTGTGTGTCAGTAAGTGATGGCGAGCAGCACATTGACTGTGTTTAAATCATGAAGACACACTGTTTATTCTACATTATATTTAATACTAAATAAATCATATGGGTTTATATAATATTTCTGTTCCTTGTGTCAAAATTGAAAAAGAAAAAAAAAGTTTCAGGTGTCCCAGTCAGTACGTTCTGCTGCTGAGCCTCGGTAGGAACCACCCAGGAAGCCCTGTAGAGGTTCAGTATGGTTACAGGAAGTTGGCATTGGAAGTTAGGGAACTCTTCAGGTGTTAAGGCAGCTCGGTCAGTGAACATGTCCCTAGAACAGGCCCCAGACTTGACCAAAAAGGCTGCGTTTGCCACCTTTTTTTGAGAGTGTGCGAGTTGAAATCTCAAGTGGTGGCATTGGTGTGAGTGAGCGATGATCATGAAGCTGCTGTGGTGTCGCTGTGACCCTGCATTGGACACAGGGTGGAAGCTTCTGTCAGTCTGTCTCTGCAGGGTGTTAAACAGATAAAGTGATCTGTAGCTGGTTCTGTAACCTGATGATCAGAGATGCAGGCAGAGGCACCGACGGAAAAGAAATCTGTTCAATTCCATCGACTAGCGCAAAGTAGGGCCACAAAATCGAATGCACATTAATCACAGTAATGGTTGTAGCTTCACACCGTTGCGTGAACACGCTGGACTGCAGTGAAATGCGGAGTGCAGCTACATGTGGTTCTGCCCGCTTGTAGAAAAGATCGCATGGAGAAAAAATATCACTGGGTTTCATCTGGGTGAAGGCTGCCATCAGAAGGCCCTAGTTTACTCTTATCAAAGTCCTTTTGCCTCCCCACCTGTCTGAGCACAGCAGCTGCCCAGCAGCAGCTAGTGCAGCCTGCCATGTGAGGCGTTCAGGAAACAGCAGACGTTCAGCTACTGAGGGGTTTAGCCAGTGAGCAGATGGGAGGTGTGACCAAATGAGAGCGTTAGTCACACCGGTGTGAGATGTGGCAGCGTACGACTGTGGATGATGGAAACCGTCTGAGCTACAGCAGATCAACACGCTCATGATGGTTCTTACGTTTCTCACCAGAAGTCTTTTTACTCACTAACACATCCTGCTGTAAACCACATGTAACGGGTGCGTTTGCTTCATCCACAGGCTCAGGTGTTCGGGGCCGGCTACCCCAGCCTGCCCACCATGACGGTAGACGACTGGTACGAGCAGCACAGGAAACACGGTGCCCTGCCGGACCAGGGGGTACCGAGGAGGGTGGCTGGACAGCAGGACACTGATGTGCAGGACAGAGAAGAAGAAGAAAAGGAGAAAAAGGCTGAAAACGATGACGAGGAGTCTCTGCTGAAAGCCAGGAACTGGGATGACTGGAAAGACACTCACCGCAAAGGTTACGGGAACCGCCACAACATGGGCTAGTTCATCCAGCAGAGCGTCCAGACCCACTGGCTCCTGTGTTCTTGTCTGTTCTGATCAGTCCTGGACGTGGATGATGGTCACATCGCTAATCCTTCAAGTTGGTGAGTCTGAGAAGTTCACCAAACCAAGAAACAGCACAGAGCATTGGTTCATGGATGAGACACTAGAGCTGATCTGCTCACGTTACATCTGCTATTTCCATTTACAGTGTTGAATCCAACAGTCTGTAATGTTGTGAGTCTTATTAAAGTGTATGATTTGACTGAACCTGCTGTGGTGCCAGTGTTCTTGTTGTGTTTGTTCCCCTAAAGGAACAGAGCGGTACAGTCACATAGAGAAGAGAAGAAAACCTCAAAGGAACGTGTGATCATAGATCTGTTTTATTTATATAAAAACAGCTACAACCCGTGTGTAAATGGGTCATCTGGACATGTTTAAACACCAAAACATGGTCAGCAAATGAAAAGCAGATCTGCAGATACACAAACGACAGAACATTGGATTCATTTACAGGTCAATGAAGAGCATGTGTGGATGTCCTCCAGACATTTACCACTCTGAGCGGGTGTCTGTGGACCTCCAGTCTCTCACAGCACTCAGCTTTCTTCAGACAGCAGGTAGTTGTTTTCATTCCAAACAGCAGCCAGTATGTGTAGGAGCTGTTGTTTTAGGAAAACTTGTATGGTATACTAGACGAGAGCACTCATAGTTTTTAAAAGGTAACATCAGTGAGCGCAGTGTAGAGACCGTCACATGTAGAGCAACATGGAGGCCTAACAGGATTGTTTTATGTTCAAATGTGTTCCATCTAACGTCAGTGCTGTCGGGGATCTGTGTATAAGTGATATGAGTATATCCAGCTTCCTGTGTCCTGCCTCCAGCTCACTGTGGACATTCATCAACACTCTGCTCATCCTACGTCTGCTCTTCATATCGTCAGTGCTGTTCTGACTCAGAGTGGTGCAAGAAGGTGCTGCTGCTTGGCCATGTCATAAGGATGCAACAGGAGCAGACTGGTGTGACCTCGGGACAGAAACGTATCCCATCATGCCTTTTGGCAGGCCAAGGAGAACATTCCCTGTAACTAAGTCATCATGTTCCAGTTGCTGGTATTGTGAAATGTGACGAGCTTCTTTGGAGTGGCTCTGATGTGTGTTCAGTGGTTAAACATGAGATAGAAATCGTTTTGTGTAAATGTGTTTATTGTTCCAAGGCCAACTGGTCTGAATGTGGTCAGAGTTAATGTTGTTTAATGAAATCGATCATGTCTTCATCTCCTACTGTCCCACTGTGATCTGTGTGTTTCAGTATCTGTGACTGCATTAATTGAACATTTAAGCAACGTTTTATTGAAGCGACAGCTGAAGACACCTGGTGGGCGGTTGGGAGGCTTCACGGCAGCACCTCCAACTCAAGGCTCCATCCTCAGGCTCTGCAGCAGCAGCTTCTCTATGAGCCTTATGCTGCTCCTTGAAACCCTCCAGAAAAGAACAGGACTAGGTGTACGAGCACGTCGTCATTAATCCTCACGTGTCCTGAGAGTTCTGTTATAAGATCACATCTCTGGTAAATGTTCTAATGTTATTAACTTTATTATGTCTATTTTAGTTGCTTTTTACTGTTAGATACACAACTGGACAAAATAGTTGGTACCCCTCGGTTAATGAAAGAAAAACCCACAATGCTCACAGACATAACTTGAATCTGACAAAAGTAATAATAAATTAAAATTCTATGAAAATTAAGCAATGAAAATCAGACATTGGTTTTGAACCATGGTTGAACAGAATTATTTTAAAAAATAAACTCATGAAACAGGCCTGGACAAAAATGATGGTATCCTTAACTTAGTATTTTGGTGCACAACCTTTTGAGGCAATCACTGAAATCAAACGATTTCTGTAACTGTCAATGAGACTTGTGCACCTCTCAGCGGGTATTCTGGCCCACTCCTCATGAGCAGACGGCTCCAGTTGTCTCAGGTTTGAAGGGTGCTTCCTCCAGACGGCATGTTTCAGCTCCTTCCACAGATGTTCAATCGGATCTAGATCAGGGATCATAGAAGGCCACTTCAGAATAGTCCAATGTTTTCCTCTGAGCCATTCTTGGGTGTATTGAGCTGTGTGTTTTGGGTCATTATCCTGTTGCAGACCCATGACCTGCGACTGAGACCAAGCTTTATGACACTGGGCAGTACATTTCCCTCTAGAATACCTTGATAATCTTGAGATTTCATTGGACCCTGCACAGATTCAAGACACCCTGTGCCAGATGCAGCAAAGCAGCCCCAGAACATAACAGAGCCTCCTCCATGTTTCACAGTAGGGACAGTGTTCTTTTCTTGATTATGCTTCATTGTTGTGTCTGTGAACATAGAGCTGACGTGCCTTGCCAAAAAGTTCCAGTTTTGTCTCGTCTGTCCATGGGACATTCTCCCAGAAGCTTTGTGGCTTGTCAACATGCAGTTTGGCAAATTCCAGTCTGGCTTTTTTATGATTTGTTCTTAACAATGGTGTCCTCCTTGGTCATCTCCCATGAAGTCCACTTTGGCTCAAACAACGGTGCATGGTGCGATCTGACACTGATGTGCCTTCACCTTGGAGTTCACCTTTAATGTCTTTACAGGTTGTTCTGGGCTCTTTTGTTACCATTCGTATTATCCATCTCTTCCATTTGTCATTAGTTTTCCCCCTGCGGCCACGTCCAGGGAGGTTGGCTACAGTCCCATGGATCTTACATTTCTGGATAATATGTGCAGCTGCAGTCACAGGAACATCAAGCTGCTTGGAGATGGTCTTATAGTCTTTACCTTTAACATGCTTGTCTATAATTTTCTTTCTAATCTCCTGAGACAACTCTCTCCATGGCTTCCTCTGGTCCATGTTTAGTGTGGTACACACCATGTCACCAAACAGCACAGTTACTACTTGTAACCCTATAGATAGGCCGAGTGACTGATTACAAGTTTGTAGACACCTGTGATGCTAATTAGAGGACACACCTTGATTGAACATGTCACTGTGGTCACATTATTTTCAGTCTTTTCCAGGGGTACCATCATTTTTGTCCAGGCCTGTTTCATGAGTTTATTTTTTAAAACAATTCTGTTAAACCACAGTTCAAAAGCAATGTCTGAATTTCGTTGATTAATTTTCATAGAATTGTTATTTATTATTGCTTTTGTCAGATTCAAGTTATTTCTGTGACCATTGTGCGTTTTTCTTTCATGAACAGAGGGGTACCAACTATTTTGTCCACGTGTATTCTGAGTATGACTTGTCTGTCTTGCTGTTATCATGTCAGCGTGTCGGCGGCTGTGTGCTGAAGTCTACATCATGAACTAGTGACCACGTCCAGGATGAGACCAGGACACACAAATAGCAGGTTTGTCTGAGGAATACAGGCTCATCTGTCTGAGTTTTTCATATTGAACGTGTAACCCTCTGGTCTCTATGAAGACTGGAATCTACAAGCAAAAGCTGCATTTCTTTGTATTGAGTTAAATGAAATCAGAATCCACAAGTTCTGATTATTAGACAGATGAATAAAGTTAGAATTTATAAATTGTATTAATATTCACTCAGAAATATTATTAATGACATTTTTCTGACTAATTATTATCATTGTTATCATGAGGCTGCAAGGTGTTGGTAGCACTGTTGCCTCGTAGCAAGAAGGTCACCAGTTCGCATCCCAGTGGGGGCACTGGGATCTGTCTGCGTGGAGTTTGTATGTTCTCCCCATGCAGCGTGGGTTCTCTCCAGGTTCTCCAGCTTCCTCCCACAAGTCCAAAAACATGTTGAGGTTAATTAGTGATTCTAAATTGTCCATAGGTGTGAATGTGAGTGTGCTTGGTTGTCTGTCTCCTGTGATAGACTGGTGACCTGTCCAGGGTGTCCCCAGCCGTCATCCTGAGTCAGCTGGGATAGGCTCCAGCCCCCCATGACCCTAGTGAGGATAGATAGATAGATAGATAGATAAATAGATAGAGAACTTTATTGATCCCTTTGGTAGAACCTCAGGGAAATTGGATGGATGGATTATTATCATGAGTGCTGCCCTGAATGAATGAAATGAAATGAATGAAAAATACTTTATTTATCCCAGAAGGGAAATTCAAATTCAAATTCAATCAAAATTCAACAAGAGCAGGTTTGATCTTAAAGTGTCGTTCTGCTCTAAACCTCACTGTGACGTGATTTCATGTCTTTCTGGGCCAGTTTCAGATCTAAATGCACTTCTTAAATATGACATTTAAATGGATGACGTTGAAGGTTTCAGAGCCATGATGTGCAGCTCTCATGTTTAAAACAACCAGCTGGTGAAATACAGGCAGGATTTATTTTTTCTTTATAGCTTCACAGAACAACAACCGCTTTGTTTGACTGAACTGAGCCTCACAGTCTGAAGCAGGAACCCTGAGTTCAAAGAGAAAGTTGATAACCATTGTCTGAATGGGGCTTCATCAGCTAGCTAACACATGAAGCCTGGATGTGTTGAGCTTCCTAATAACGGACAAATGTGGGTGTTTCAACGACCACATGTGTGCTGCTACTGTTGTGTGTCCAATTACTCTATGTGCCTGGAATTGGCCACAGGAGACAAATAAAGTTTATTTCAACTACAATCAATCAATCAATCAATCAATCAATCAATCAAAACATGTCACTCTATTTGTGTAGTATTCTTTAGTGTATCATCCCTTGTCTATACTTCACAACGTGTTCAATATTCGTTCCATCGTCAGACATCTGGACATCTTCACTCATGAGTCGTCTCACATCATCAGACTTTTGACCATCTATGACTTTTCTCAGAACTTTATGGCTTAAAATATGGATGGCGACCTTCTTGCTGCGAGGCAACAACTGTGCCACCTTGCAGCCCCTGAGTAGAACAGAGTTCTCCATATATAACAAAGTCAATAATCTTTTTTATGTTGTATGTTTTTCATTTCAGAACCAGCTTTGCAGCTGGAGAAACAGAGTGAACAGTTACCTCATATACTGACTGAATAACTAAATTTCATGGAAGAGTTGCTTGAGGTATCTAGAGTGTTTTGTATCTCACCTGAATAGTCAAAGCTAACGTTAATCTAGCGCCTTATAGACTGAATAGTTGTGGTTCCTTAAGAAGCAGCTGATGAGAGACTGTGTGTGATGGAGTTTAAGTTTGTCCCAAAACTCTGCCAATGTGAAACACAAAGTCACATAAATGAATAAATTCATAAATGACTGTTCAAAAGCGGTAAATTTTTGGAAGATATTCACAAATGGCTTTCATTTATTTGTAAATTAATTAACTGTATTCATATAGTTTTTTGTTGTTGTTGTTTTTGCTTTGGTGGAATGCATTTAATATTTACAGATTGGATTTAAGTTCACACAAACAATATTGAGACAAATCTTTGCACATATGAGAGAAGTGGAGGTGGAGGTGCTTTATCTCCCACCCTGTCCAATGCAGATGTGTACCTCAGAATAAGCATGTCAAAACAAATACCTTTAACAATGTTCATTTAACAAGGTCTGTTGCAATAAAAGGACAACAAAATCCTGCTAGTCACCACAACCACTGTGTTAAAACACTAAGCTTCTGAAAAGCAGAGTTTATTTTACTACTTTATTTGCCGCTGATAATGTAAACCAGGACCGCTGACATGTTGCTGTGAGCAGGTTGAGCAGCTTTATTTTGAAAGTTGAAACCGGAGGTGTGTACGGTTGGAGAGGAATCCTTCCGGGAGCTTGACGAGGTGTCGTTCCTGTCATTGGCGCTCCCGGACGGTGCTGTTAACTGGACCCGCAACAAGGACACCCAACGTTCGTGTTCAGTCTGAGGTAGTGCCGCTGCCGTCTCTGTCTGTCTGTCTGTCTGTGCGTCGCCTGGAACTGTCCGTAATGACCGAGCTAGCTCCGTTAGCTAACTGAAGGCTAGCATTAGCTGAACTTTGAACAGCTGTCTCAGAGCTAGCGGCTGCTCAGTGGCTTCATGCTCTTACTCTGAAAAGGTTTCATCGTCCAACGGTATTTTCCGTCAGAAATGATACTTTAATGTTTGCTGTTGCATTTATTAACATTGCCACCAGCTCTGTATGTCAGACATATGCAGCGTTACACACGGTCTGGTTTGCGTCTGTATTGTGGCGCTAACGGAAGACGAGAACTTCAGGGTCACGGAACCGGATGTGATGTCAGCCACTATCCAGCCATTGGCCCTTCACATAGTGTCCCGCCTCTATTCATGTCATTACGGTGTGAAAGCATGAATGAAGCATGGCTTCATTTTCTCAGTGCAGAAACCAACGGGTGACGTCACGGTAGCTACGTCCATCTTTTATACAGTCTATGGTTTAAATTTTAAGGTCTATACCTTGCCATATTAAGCACATGTGTTGTAAACTGCGCTATACAAATACATTCACATTGAATTGAATGAAGCCTGACATTCACACAGTGTGCAGTTCCTTCTGCTTTGACTGCTGCAGCAATGTTGTTTTCAGTCTGTATTATGTATTCAAAATCATTGTATTTTTCTATTATGCTTTGCTCAGTAGAGCTGCATATATTTGCAACTGGTCATCTGTTACCAGCTCGGTTTCTTCCACACCACACCATAAGCCTTTCTAATCCCACAGTGGGGACATTTGCATTGTTACTGCAGCAAAGGCGTGCAAACATTTAAGAAATATCAGTTAAAAAATGTTAAATAAAGAAAAAAATACTTGTTCAGAATGTCCACATTTCTCTGGATGTGGCAATAACAATATTTGCATGTTGACTGGTGTTGGCAGAATGAGTCAGGCCCTGCACTAGTCCACCACTGGTCCACTGGGTTGCTGTTTGCTCAGAGGAACCTTTAGATTGTTGGGTTCTTTGGTCAAAATGTCGAAGGTCTTCACCTACTGTGTGGTGACATATGTTGTGAACTGAAGGTTTCCCCATTATTGACCTGAAGGCAGTTCCACTGGCACTAGTCCACAAAGCTCTGGCTCAGTTGTCGTACTCCTATCATCCCCATCTGGGACGACAACTTCCACAGATGACAGCTGGTTGAGCTTTACAGGAAGGGAAGAGCAAACAGCCATTCCAGATTGACAGTCCCGTAACTTCACATGCTGTGGAAGGTTGGCCAGTTATTCTATGACCCATGCTGTGAGGGTGCTCATATTCAGGTCCAGGAATTCTGGGTTGACTTACTAAGTTGATAACTGGCTTTGTAGGACCGCTTATCCACTCTGCCATTATTAGCTTAAGTGAAGCAAGATAACGAAAGGATACCGTGGGTATGTTGAACTTGCTTTGGAGTAAGGCCCCTGGTTGACAATAGAAGGACTTTGTCCACCGTCAAGGTGTGCTTGGTGGCCATTTGTGCCTGCCATATTGCTTTTGAGGAGAAAACAATGGGAGAGCACGATACATAGCAGAAGTTTGTCTAAATAATGTTACAGGGGCACTGCGCCCTCATACTCCCGGCTTGTGCCCTCTTACCAAAATGCCAATTGAACCCTTGTAACACTTGGGCCGTACAACATGCAATCTTCATGAAAAAGATCTTCTTGGCCGTGAAAATATCCCAGCACCATCACAAGACAATGTATCTGATCATCAAAAACGTTACAATGACTCCAGCATATTCCGATTGCGGTTGATACACGGTTAGACGGTGCAAAAAACCATCGAAATTGGTGTTTTCCATGCCGAGGCGCTATATTATTTTGGCGTTAGCTGCTTTCACGAGATTTCATGTAGGTTACATGCAAGGTCAGCTGACCTACACAGCAAGATTTCTCGAGACTGAATGACCATGTATGTTAGGGTCTTACTCCCTCACACTGTGTTAGACTGGCAGTGGTTAGTGTACGTATATGATAGGGTCTTGCTCCCTGACACTGTTATACTGGTTGAAGTACATGTGTGTGTATCATGGTGCTGTGCGAGCATGTAAGAACTTTCCAAGTACTAGTAAATAGAAGTTTTGCCTATACTAGTATTTGTCATGTTTTCATTTACAGAGTACAGTTGTATTACAGTTCTAACAAAACAACAATTGCTCAACAGTTGATAATGTCTTGATTTCTGAAGTTTCATGAGCTAAAATTTCTCTCTCATATAGCCTCAGAATGTCCCATTTAAGTTTCAATTTTTCAAAGGCTTTGCACCATCCCCCCCTCAGTTACTTCACTCCCTCGACACAGTGTGCTCCCTCATACTATTTTTTTCTAGAAAAACCCCTGTATAGGTATTTGTTGAAACAGATGCTGCCCTGTCAGTTACGTTGGATCAGTGATCCTCGTGTTGGTTGTTTTGACAGATTTAAATGAAGTGCCAGAAAACAAAGTAAAGAGGGACTTTATGTTCAATGTGGGCATCACATGTTGACGGTGGAGGTCACGTTACACTGGTGACCACAGAAGTCGCAGCTTCTGACTGTAGGAAGACTGATCTTAAGCGTGTAGTGTGAGTTCCACCCAGTATTCAAAGCTAACACTGCTAGAATTCTATAGCTGATAGACAAAACAATGGGCACACTGCCAGAACCGTGAGTATTGAGCCCTGTGTAGGCATTAATAGATGTCTCTCATGGCTTTGGTCACAGTGTGTACAGAACTAATGTGGTCTTATCCTGAGCCAAACAGCAGACAGAACTGACTGAAACCCACACACCTATAAAAAAGTTGTTGATTTCTTTTTAGCTTGAGTGGATCCATCAACTGTAATACAAACATATCTCTGTAGTCAGTGTTCTTTGCCACCAATTGGCTTTAGCATTGGACAGGTAATGTACAGTGGACAAGGACCTACAGGAGTCTGACGTTTAACTTCTATGTTAGCTTATATATACCAGAGAAGTGTTTCTCCACCTTCTGAATGAAGAATGTGTCTCTCTGTGTAGATGCTGGGGGCTGGTCCATGGGTGTGAGCCGACTGGATGTCTTTTACAGAAGGCTGCTCCTCACCAAACTCTTCATTGGGGGATGGGGAAAGCCTGAAGACCTCAAGAGGTATGGAAAGAAGGAGAGCAGAACGCAGAAGTACACGAGTACATATTCTCTCACTGTTGAATCTACCCTGTACTGTGTCACTGGTCATAATGAGTAAGGTGTTACCACAGCAGGGCAGCGTCAGGCTGCTACCTCCAGATGCTGCTCTGCTGCTATCTTCACATCTCTAAACACACTTTTTGGATTTATGGGGCACAAAACAACAACAATTGATTTTTGCAATCACTTATCATACATCATATTTTTTTGCTAAACCTGTTATTTCTAAGGTAAGATAAAACATTCTTAATCCAGAAGCAAATTCTTTTGCCAGATATTGTTCAGAGAAAACAAAGACAGAACAGATGGAGTGCTGACTGAGAAAGCAATGAGATAAAAGTAGGATAAATTACTGAAAATAACTGAAGTAAACTAAAATAAGACTAGAATAAAAAAGTAATGCTGGCATGGTTCCTAGGTAATACCACACATGATGAATAAAAACATGCACATATAATCAAAATATTGCACATGAAAACAATGTGTTACACACAACAGGATGCTGGGTCCCACCACCAGGACGGGAGTCCAACAGGAAAAATGTTCTACATTTTGCTTTCCTTGGGCTCTAGATTTTCTGTTTCCAGATTCAGAGGAGTCGGCCTAGCCGTATGTCAGAAGTGTGACTAAATCATAAAGACTGTGCAGAAAAAAATGCAAACATCACCATTTAATGTAAAGTGCCTATCTGTTGCAATATTGTCTACGGACAGCAAATCAAAATGTTGGCCTAAAAACATATACAGTCATAGAAAAATGATCAGACCACCTTATTTTCTTCAAATTCTTGTTCATGTTAATGCTTGGTACCACTAAAGATATATTACCTGAGGAACACAATGAACATGACTAAACATGCAGCTGATTCCATCATTACTTTATGTCCTATGTGACATGCTTCAGCTTCATTGTATTCCCTGTAGGGTATATAAGAGGCCATTTCATGTCATCAGCAGCACTGCACATGCAAAGGCCTGGAGTGGTTTCCTGCTTACATTCAAGCCGTAGCACAACTCAGAAGTTGTCAGCTCTCACATAATGCCTAAAACACAAGGATTATGTGAAGCCACAAAGGCAGCCATCTTGGCTCTGCTAGAAACTGGCATGAGTGAGAAACAGGTAGTGAAAAAACTGAAGATCTCCAAGACAGCCGTTCATTACACCAAGAAACAACAAGCCCGTTACCTTGGATCCTTCAAGTAATTGATTGCAACAGCCATGAGCCAGTACTGGTGTCAGCATCACCATGCATTTGATTCCACTGTCAGTTTGTCTGTTGGTGTAAATCATCAATCTTCTTTGAGCAAACTGTCTTTTCCTGCTTTCCTTACAGCAACATGACTTTTCAAAGTGATGCCACTACTGTCTTTGTATGGTCTAAGATGAGGCAAGTGAAGCAGTTCTAGACCAATGGAGAGTAGGAGGGCAGCATAGTAGCAAGAAATGACATTAAAACCCATTCAGAGGAGGCACAGTCAGCTGAACTTAGGAGTTTCTTTTAAAACATACCTTTCAAGGAAGAAACGCTCTCCTAATCAGAAGCTCTCCTTTTACATGTTCTTGGATATTCTGAAGCAGTCAAGGTGTAGCTGGTCATGTTAATTATATGCATGAGCCAGCATTTCACTACATGTGTCACTTCACAGTGAGGTAAAGACCGGACGAGTTTTAAACAAAGAACCCAACAATTTGATGTTAAGTCCGGTTCTTTCAAGAGCTGGCTCAGCTCCCAGCTGGCTTCTTAGATTTGTTGTTGCTTAAATTAATTCATTACCAAAAATAATAAAGAGCAGAATTACTAATGTACAAAACATACATCATTAAATATTTATATAGCCAATTCCTCAGTTATATTCTGTTTACTGGGTTCATAGCCGGAGGCCTGAGTGTCTCAGAGTGCTGGGCTGTAGGCCTGTGGTGGTGGTGCACTGGATGTAGACTAACTGGTACCAGCATTAGTACAAGGTTTACTTTCTTTTTGTTTTTCTTCCAACTGCACTAAAATAGTTGTAGTGTGCCTGCAGGTCATTTGTAGAGCCTGCTCAGTATGACACTTTAACCTGACAAATGCTTCACTCTGCCTTTGTGTTATCAATTTAATTGAAATATTCACCCACTGGGTCGGACACTCAGACACAGGTAAAGGTTTACCAAGGATTTATTTACAGGAAACACCAAATTAAAACAAGGAACTGACCAGCTAGGAAACAGAGGAATATTCTGAGTAGATACCGCAGAACTACCAACAAAGTCGTAATGGCAGAAAAAACTAGACAGGGACTAGACAGCAACTATTACAACAGTGACAGACATGGGGACTGAACAAGACTGGGTACAGCCAGGCTCAGAAAGCTCAGGGATGGGAAGCATTTACAAACGCACACAGCTTAACAGAGCTAATGCCAACGCAACAAAACAGAAGCCTGAGCTTTACTGATACTAAACACAAGCACAACAACAGCACACTACAGCACAGGACCAGCTACTGGACTGGACCCAGAGACAGCACAGTAACTTAGTTGATGACTGGTGAGAGGGAACAGATGGTCGGGGCTGGAACGTGGAGGAGTCTAGGCTGGAATCGGTAGAGACCAGGGGCCTCATGTACAAAGCGTGCGTACGCACAAAAACTTGGCGTACGCACTTTTCAGCTCATCATCAAGCTCTGCAGAAGCCTGATAACGATCCTGATCATTTGAATCAGGTGTGTTGGAAGAAGGAAACATCTAAAACTTGCAGGATTGCGGCCCTCGAGGACCGGAGTTCAAGGCCCCTGACCTAGATGTTATGGGAACACATTTTGGGCCTGTAACCTTTCCACTCAGCTTTAATGAAACTTAGAGAAACTTAGAGAAACTTGCTTTAACATTCTTCATGCAGATGCAGTATTTTTCCATTACACTCCCCCCTTTTGATCATTCTTTGATCACCTTAAAAGAATAACTATGACAGACAGACATATCAAAACATCCATTTCTACACCCTTTTCACAGTTTAAGTAGAAACTTCATAAACGATATTGGAAAACTTGCTGTTTTTGCGGAGGATAGACCCCAGTTGGATATTTAAAGCAAAGATGGAGGGAGCTACATGTATGTACAACATTAATCATGTGTGAGGTGTGTGTGTTGGCGAAAAGGGAAATCAAAAGGGGTACCTACAAGGGTGAACACTCTGTTACAATGCTCTGACGGACAGTGAAACACAAAACCAGTGCAGCAGGGACAGTGTCCTTGATGAAACGTGGACACACAGAGGAGACCTACAAACACTCGCACNGTGGAAGTTGTTTTAACAGAGGTGCAGAGAATGTGTTTACTGGTCCTGTGAAGAACATGCACAATGATTAGGGTGCTGAGAGAATTTAAAATGAGAAATAGAGATGGCCTGTGTTTTGGAAACATAAAAAGGAGAAATATAGAGATGGCCCAAAAGTGTTAAGGAAATAGAGCTATAGCCAAAGAGAAAATAAGAGAAGGCCTGTGTATGAGAAAGGATTCAAATTAGAAGAAGTTGGGATGACTCGCTCTCCCAAAACATAGAATTAGTCGAGTTCTTGTGAGGATCTGACTCGCTCTCCTTACAACAGGGAATAACTAGTATCTTCTGAGTAGAATTTTGATTGAATTATTTGATTGTTGTGGTAGAGGTGTAACAAATAGGTTTACTGATCTCATAAAGTACTTGCAAGAAGAAGAAAAAAAAGAGAGAGAGAGAGAAAAGACAGAGAGAGAAAAAAAAATAATAATAAAAATAAAGTAAAATTGAAAGTTAAAATTCAAAATAAACAAGCAACATGAAACAAAAAGTGGAAGAAATCAGAGAAAAGTCTTAAGAAGTTGAAAGCCACATTCCACCCTTCTCTCACAGAAGTGTGGAAACTGCTTCTATTGTGGGTGAACCAAATCACCTGGGTAAGACACATGCCTCATCACAATCAAAGCTAACCCTGCCTACGGCACCTCCATTAAGAAGCCAAGGGGAAGGCCAACAACCCCCACAGCCCAACTTACAGAGAAGTGAGGACAATGACCAAACTGAAATAGGTGTGATTCAAGCTCCACTAATCAAATTAGCAAAACAAATGAAGAAAACTACACTTAACAATAGAGGGAAATAGTAAACCAACTGCAAATGTAGGAAGAGACTTGTTGTGTAAGTTAAACTGCACTATTAATTGTAACCCAGAAGGGTACTTAATGCTCTGATAAAGTGAAATCACAGACAGAGAGAAGAGGGAATTGCATGA